TGTTGGACGTGGATAACACATATGTTCCAAGTACAACAACTGATGTAACACAGCTCCAGGAAAGTCACTGATGAAGGGTCCAAGAGAGATTCCGAGGGGACAGGAATTAATTTAAGACTAGTTTGGAGAATCATTTCTTCAGGTTCATCAGTATCATGGGTTTCTTTACTTGGGTTGCAAAGTTAAGAGACTACCTTCTCTATTGCAAAACTGTAAATGATATATATATATATACATACATACACATAAACATACATAAATGCATATACATGCATGTATACATCATTTAGATTCACAGAATGTAAATTCAGAAAATCTAAGATGGAAAACGAACATAAATCTAACATCTACAGTGTCTTGGAGAAGGATATCCCTTACATACAAATATGCACCCACATTTATGCACATCACGTTGCAGCATACACATGTGTGTGCAAACACAGCTTCCCAACTCACAGATGCAGACAGAAAAGCTAGATGTTGGCTGGGGCTCTTCCCTGGGTCTTTCTTCAGCTGGCCTTGGTGACAGAATGGCCCAGGCCACATGGGAAGGCTGGAGGGGGCTGCAGAGGGCACTGCTGGACCATGGTTCCTGCCAGCCACCCTCAGCAGTGTAGGTCGTGAAACCGGCCCGGGGCAGCACACGGGGGTCTGGCCCTCAGTCGAAGGCAGGCAGGCCAAACAACTCGGGCTGCAGGTCCTAGAGGGAACACAGCACCACGGTGGCCTTGGTGGTCAAGTCGCAGCTCAGGTTTTCATTGGGAACCATGACGACCTGCATCCCCGCTGCCAGGGCGGCCTCCACCCCATTGGAAGCATCTTCAAAGACGAGGCACTGTGGGAAGAAATGGAAAGCTGAGATGGCCTTGGGTGCAACCCAGCTCCCAGAGGAAGGGTGACTGCCATGGTATGGATGTCCAGGGTCTCCAGAAGGGCACACGTTCAAGGTTCTACCCCCAGGGCAGCCATGTTCAGAGGCCGCACTTTTGGAAGGTGGCTTGGCCACTTTCTCATCACTGAGACACAACACCTGACCCTGGAAATGAAAGGAGGAGGTTTATTTTGGCTTGTGGTCTGCAGAAGTTTTGGTGCATAGCCAGGTGGCCAAAAGGTGTGGCAGAGGAGAAACAACTCACGGTGTGCAGACTGAAAGCAGACAGAGATCAGTGAAGGAAGGAAAGAGACAGACCCCTCCAGGAAATGCCTCCAGGACCACAGCTCCTCCAAAAGTCCTAGTATGAGCAGGTGAGGCTTTGGGGGGGGGGATCTCGCTAAAATCCACAGACTGCATGATCATGAGGGCTCTGGCCTTACCACTGCAGTGATTTAACGAAGGCTTCATGGTTGAACAGACTTCATGGTTGAACAGATAGGAAGGGAAAAAGGAAGTAGAACCCAGAGGAAGGAAGTGGGTAGAAGGGGCGTGACCCCAGGGGAACCTGTCTTGTCATTGGCCCCCTTATCTGTCTGTCTCTGCTTCCTGGCTGCCTTGCCCCATGATGTTGTCACACAACATAAGCCTAAAAATACAATGGAGCCAACCAACCACGACTGAAAATTCTAAACCTGTGAGCCTAAATAAACCTTTCCTCTTTTATGGTGCTGACTTTCTCAGATATTTGTGTTGTATGGTATTTTGTCATGGTGATAGATGCCTAACACAGAATGTTTAGGGTGCTTGTCACCAAGGCATTTGGGACTGTCCCAACTGGAGTGGAAGGGCCATGTATGTTTCCTGGCTGACCAGCTGTGGTTCTGACCCATTCTTTCCCACTGGGTTTCTTGAGAGGAGACAAATTCTGTGCCTGTCAGAGCCTAACTGTGACACCGCACAGCTGTGTGTCACGTTGGTATTTTTGATATGAAACTATTTTATTTGGATCATTACAATCTGTTCCATCAATAATTGAACATTCAGAGTGTGAGAGGAAATTGTAAAACAAAATGATCATGCTTCTTAAATGTAAAAACACTTCAGAGCTTCTTATACTTCATGTGTTGTAGTTACAGAATTAAATGGTTCGGTGTCTTACTGAAAAAATTCAGGGCCCCGTGTGCTGGTGCTGGACATGAAGGCTAAACAAAACAAAATTCATGAGCACTGGATCAGGGGCAAGTGTACATGCCCTCTGGGAAGACCACGGTCGGTGACCTTGACAGGGCGGTGCAGGGAGGTTACTGACAAGCAGATCTGTGCAATGCACTCTATGTCTCTGGACTCTGCTCACACAGTGGGCTGGGTCAGCCTGCAGGTCTGCTCCCTGTGCATGCCCTCCAGCTCCCCTGGGCGCCCGTGTCAGGGTCACGTGGGGATGCCTCCCAAGTTGCTGCAGAGACATCTGTCTACTGGTGGCAAGAAGGAGCAGATCTGACTAGCACTCCACCTCGGGAAAACAGGCACCCAGCCAGCTTCCCCCAGCTCCCTGGAAGGGGACCCATGGACAGTGAGAATGGGGTATCCCTCAGAGGCTCCTGGAGTGTTGCGCTTCCTGCTGTGACATGTGACATGCTCTCCTGGCTCCCTTCTTCTAGGGAGAAGACCTGTGACTCAGGAATAGTTCAGATAGGGCTTTCGGGTCTCCACTTGACTCTCTTTGGGGCCTCTGTCCCTTTGCATTGTAATACAGAAATCAGCCGGGTATGGTGACGGCCCAATGTGGGGGTGCACAGGAGCGGACCCAGGGAAAGTCTCGTTCTCTTCCACACTCACCTTGTCTTAATGTCTTAATGATCTGCTCCACAGCTGTAGCGCATCCACGGACCTTTAATCACATTGCCTGTTCCCTCCCTCTCTCTTCTCTTCCTCTTCTTCCCCCAGTTCTTTCCCTCCGTCTGTGCAGAATCCTCCACTTGTGACTCACCCAAGGCTGACGGGAAGCTGACATGAGTGAATCTGACAGCCATTGAGAAGCTCCTCTTCTACTGCTGGGGAGCATGTCTGCACCCCACCCCAGCCCATTCAGGACTCAGGTGGCTGGGGGACAGGTCCTGAGGTGTTTAGTGCTAAACCTGAGTGCTGGGCAGGACAGGGCTGGCTGTAGGTCTTCCTTCCTCTCGTGTGTGTGTGTGTGTGTGTGTGTATGTGTGTGTGTGTGTGTGTGTGTGTGTGTGCGCGCACGCGTGCACATGGGCACATATTGCAAATTGAACCAGGGCCTTTGAATGTGGCTACATCTCTATCACAGTCTTGTTCTTTTCTTTTTTAATTTTGACACAGGGTCTCCTCCAAGCAGCTAAGTTGCCCAGGCCGGACCGAAGTTGCAGTTCCCTGCCTCAGCCTTGCAGGGTGCCGGGGTTACAGGTGTGGGTGGGAAACCCAGCGCTGCTGCCCTTCCGCCTGAGGACTTCTGAACTCCACGGGCCCTGCAGCCCCGGCTCTTGCTTTTTCCCTGAGCGGGAGGAAGGGACTCCCTCAGACCATCAGCGTAGCTTCCTTAGTTAATAGCCCACGTGCTATTGGCTCCTGACATTTCCATTCCACTGAAGTTATGCCTTGATTAGTTTCTAAATGTCCCCACTGTCCTCTTCTGGGACCACGACAGGCACTTAAATGTCAAGTGGCCCTGTGACATTCTCATCACATCCTCTGGGGCTGCGGAAACTCTGCGCAGTCTGCTCAGAGACTTGATTCATCCTGGGGCTGCAGCTGGTGAAGTACTTCGGTCTACCGGCTCGGGGACCAACTGTGCACGGAGGAGTGTGCGGTGGAGCTCAGAGCGCAGGCAGCTGACCTTGAAGGCAGGCAGGGGAGGCCTCCGACACCCCCCTGTGCACACCCTCAGCAGGCTCTGGGTGCCATTCGTGTGCCAGATCCTCCTGCTGCTGCGGCAGGGGCAGTCACAGGAAGTGGAAGGAGGAAGGGACGGGGGACCAGTTGCACTCTTTCTGGGGGCTTTCACCTCACAATCCATCCCTTCCTCATCCGAGAAGCGTCCAAAGAGGCACCAATGTGTGAACTGCAGGTAGATCTGAAAAGCTCCAAATCCGAGGTTTCCTGAGCTCTGACAGGACTATGGAGGGGGAAAACTCGATAAAGTGGAACCATTTGGGGCACAAAATTATTAAAAGGAGTCTTTATAATTACCTCCAAGGTGTGGGAATGAGTGTACTGGAATAAAAAAAAATTAAGACTTGGGCCCCATCCCCGAGGTAACTTATTACGCATGTGCGAATATTTAAAAATGTTTCAGAGTCCTAGTACTTCTGGCCCAAGCATTCCAGGTAAGGGGTTTCTGATCCATGTCATGCAGAACATGGGTGTGGTAGGATCTGCATCACGACCACAGAGTGACAGGAGAATCTGACTGTATTAATCTCTCCCTGGCACTGGGACAAAACCCCCAACATCCTAGCTGGGAGGAGAAGAGTTTTAGTTTGGTCTGGTTTGCAGGGATTTCAGCCCACAGTCAGCTGACACCAAGGCAGCAGAACGGCAGGGCAGAGGGCAGCTGCTCTACCCGCTGTGGTCAGCAAGCAGTGACAAGAGCCGGGTCCCACCCCAGGGACCACCTCCTTAAGGTGCACAGGGCCCGGAACTCACCCGTGCTCAGATCCACTGCTGAGTGCAGTGCCTGTGGGCAGATCACTGTCCGAAGACCCACCTCTGAACACGGACACTCGGGAGGACATAAAAGCCCTAAAGCGTGCCGTGTGTAAATCGGAAGGGCTACCAGTGCACAGGCCGGTAAGGCCCTACGTGCTGAGACACTTTGGGGAAAGCCTTGCAGGACAGGCTGCAGGATGGAGGCTTCCCGTCCATGCCTACTGCTCATTATTTGCAAGTGACTGCGGTTCTGATGCAATCAGAGGCAAGGGTTACAGGGGTCCTACACCAAAGGGCAGGTGTTGTGATCACCTGTAACATGTCCACAGCACCCACTTCTGCTTCCTGTGCCCATGAGGTCTGTCTGTCTACCCTGCAACCATCTGCAGATGTCTGTCCTCCAATGAGTGGTGTTGTAGTCAGGGGTTGTACACAGAGAACAGTTCAGATCAGGACATGGAGTTTATAATATTTTTATAATGGTCACCGGAAGTTAACACAGGAGAATGCAGGAAATCTATCCACAACACCAACGACATAGATTATTTAAGTCAAGAGTCTAAACCCCATGGCAATGTCCCACATGAGTCCAGATAAAAACCCAGAGCTCAGAACGACGCCTCCACGAGTCCAACTGGAAGTCCAGAGCCCACAAGAAGGACTCACGCCAGTCTCTTTTACGGATTCGTGCCAGGAAGACCCAAGGGTCAGCGGTGGAAGCCACAAAGTCTATGCCAGCAGGATGAAGGAGCTGTGCTAGTGGGATGAGGGTTCTACACTGGAGCTGAGAAGTCACACTCACAACAAAGAGCGGGGCTGTCCTGAAAGGAACCACAGCACATGTCTTCCCCTCTGGAGCCAGGAAGCAATGCTCGATGTGAAGACCAAAGCTTCTCCAGGAGAACCAACAGCTCAGACAGTAACTCGTAGGAGAACCAACAATGCCTCCATAACGCCTCAATCCCTCTCCCACCTCTCTTCTTCTCCACCTATTTATCCTGGCAACCCTCCTCAGGTGGAGCATCTTCTCTCAATGCATGCTGATGTAATCCAGCTGGCGTTAAGTTGACCACTAGTTATCGAACCATAACAAGTGGCAACCTGGCGCTTCCTGTCAGCTACCAGGAGTTCCTCTGGAGAAAGGAGCGTGTGGAAAATAGAAGTTGGGTCTCAACTGGACGGTCAGCTGCGGGTGGCAGGAGAAGAGTGGTACCGCCTGGGCACTGGTTCTGTGCCAACTGAAGACAGCAGAAAACAAAGCCTGCACAGCCACCCAGGAAGAAGACCCACCCAGGGCAGCACCGGGGCCACCACGCCACACAGCTTGCAGGGAGAGTAGATCCCATCATCTGTCGTCTGCAGTAATCCAGTGCCAGTTTTTTCTTTGTTTCTTTCAGATGCATTCGAATTATAAAGCAGAGCAACCACTGTGTTTAGAAGCACCTATCAAAAATGTGCAGCAAGGTTTTGATGCCTTCATTAGACTACGTGTGCTGATTCCAAAGACCAAATGTGAGTCTTTCAAGGACACCCCTCCATTAAATGACTGCTGGCACCTAACATCCCGGCAGGTAAGAACTGCCAGAGCAGGGCTCCTCTATCTACTGGAACCAAGTACAAATGAGGCAGTTACCCAGAAAGAATGCCTGCCAATCACAGGAAATGTAGGCACAAAGGACAGGAAAACAGGGTGCTCCAGCCACGGCTCACACAGAACAGTCAGAATATGAGCTTGTTCCCAGGCTGCAGGTCACAGAGAGCTATGTTTTTCTATGCAAAAGCAGACCTGTCCCAGGGCCGTTTCTGTCTCAAGTGCTAACGGTCGGCCCTGGAAGGAACAGGAGCCGACTCTCACCCTGGCTGTGCCCTTTCTCCAAGCAGGCTCAGAGACCAGCAGCTGGTGACCATGTCTCTGCCCTGCGGTCCAGCCTGTCCTCTGCCCTTCACGCCTACCCCTGCCCAGCAGCAGACTCATGCCAAAGGCGCCTGGGGAACTCGGTGTTTGCACCGTGCTATCTGGGGAGAGAAGCTGTCCTGAAAGTGAGGGGAAGCCAGCCCCTTACCGCAAACACTGCAAGCGGACCGTCCCTGCCAGCCCCACTCGATTTCCTCCCTTCCAGAGGGCCGGGACCCAAGAGGCTGGCTGTCGGATGGGTCTGGGATGCTCAGCCGCTGTCCCAGGCCTTTGGCCTCCCAACAGCTCCTCTGACAGCTCTCCCCACTCCTCTGCCAAGCTCTTCTCTTCTCCCTGCACCTAGCTAAAGGCTGCGATCCATCTAGCTTCTGTCCCCAGGAGAGAAGATGGCCCTGACTCGATGGCGGCGGGAGGGAGTCATGGCGAGGGTGTGGCATTTCCTGCCTGGACACCACAGGCCCTGGAGCCACTGGACCTGAGGCTCTGCACAGGCAGAGGCTCCATGGTGACTTTCCTGTCCCTCACCTGGCCAGCTTGTCAGGACCTGCCCTAGGGCAGAGGCTCCGGTGCTTTAACTTTCTGAACATCAAGGACATAAAACTAAGATGTTCTGTTTTATAACTAGGGAATGCCTCCCAGCGTATCTGTCTGAGGGCCTGTGACACATCACAGATGAGGTGTCTGGTGAGGCTGCTTCCTGCTGCACACCCAGACGATGCCACAACTCGCTGTGTCCCTGTGTGGAGGAAGCGCTTGAGGGGCCTCTGATAAGGACAGGGACCCCCATCCATGCAGCTTCACCCTTCCAATCCCATGGTCTTCCAGTGGTCTCATCACCTGGCTCTTCCAACTCCAAGGTGAGCTGTCAATACATGGCCTCTGGGAGGACATAAATATTCAGTCCATCACCGCGGCCAGGGGGTAAATACAAATGAGTTTCAGCCCGGTGAGACTCGGTACCAGGCCTGAAAGACTGATCCAGGCAACCCTGGGATAGATCTGTGCTTTCTTTAGGGCATCAAAGGGGCAGCAATTTCTTACAGCAGGGGTGCACAGAGCTTTCAAGATGAATTCCAATGCTAATCGCATCCCACTGGTCTGGGAGAAGCATTGGGAGTCATCTTGGAAGCTCTGTCGATATACCTAGCTTTAGACACAGTTAAAAAAAAAAAAGAGAACAAACCAAACTGTTGGAAAAGAGCCTTGCAGTTAACAAGGCAAGGCAAGGATTTCCTCTCAAGCCTCAAACACATGATAGGGCCTCAATTACTGTCAGGGTTTGAGACTCAGAATGAGGTGGATGCTTAAGAAAAACTGACCAGCACCCACAGCGTCTCCAAGACCAGCTCTTCCCTCTGACACCGCAGACAAGCTGTCGCTCTGGGAGAGAAGCAGGTCGCAGGGAATCTGGCTAGTCCTGGGACTGCTGGATCCGCCAAGCTGAAGCAAGGGTACATGGTGTTTTTTGGACCGGTTCAGAAGGATCCTCGGACTCTTAGAGGCCGCCTTTGGAAACCCGAGGGACCATTCACACAGTATTTGTTTGATTTTGGTAACCTGATTCGCTGTTCTCTCCGAAGCACCTCATTCAGACAGGGCTTCTTCTAGCCCACTTTGTTCAGTTGTTTTTTGAAAGCCATCTCAAAGGCCTTCTTCAGAAAGGCAGGAAACAAGGAAGGTGCCCACTGAGCAGGAGAGAAAACAGCTCCACCGAAGAGGAGGAAGTCATAAATAATTTTAAAGGGAAATCTCTTTATCGGCAGAAAGGACACCCCGCCCCGGCCACCTGGAACATCAGAGCTGGACTGTAACCTTTCAAAGTCAACACGCGAAGCTTTAGAATTATGATTTACTTGGAGACCTTTTCATTGCACGGAAGAGGGAATACATTTAAGGGTGTGTAGAACAAACAAATGAATCCAGGATAAATACGACTCTCCAGGACTGTAGCACAGTCTAAACATTGCTTCACGCCAACCTCTTGTTTTATAAAGACATGAATAAGTGATACTCAGAGCCTGGTGTCGGGGAAGTGCTCCATCAGTATCAGCTATGATTATGGTAATGGAGATCCATCCTGCAGCTCTTATAAGACATGCACAGAGGAGTTTCATATTGCTCAAGCTGGTCATAGCAGTGTGATTAGCTCTTACAGCACCATGACTCTTTGGCGAAGTGTCCCCCCTCCAAGCTGAGAGGTTAATAAACTGCCGATTAGTGACACCTGCTTCTTCTTGTTTGTGTCTCCATGAGCTTCACCAAGCATGGACACGGAACAGCCTGTGTGTAGCAGAGGCCAATACGGGAAACCTGGGGTAGTAGTGTCCTAGGTGGCTTTCTGTTACTGTAACAAAAGACACAGGGCTGGTGACCCGTAATGAAAGAGATGAGATAGCTCAGAGTTTTGGGGGTGACCTAGTTACTTTCCTGTCACTGCTGACAGAAGATATTGAACATCCCAAATGAAGGAAGGAAAGGGTTATTTATTTAGCTCACAGTTTGTGGAGGTTGTGGTCCAAAATCAGCTGGCTTCAAGGCAGAGAGGGGGAAACACTTCAAGGCACAGATAACAGCAAAAGCAGCCAGAGCAAAAGGTGGGGAGGGCCAGCCTCTTCCCCTCATTACCCTGTAAGCAGGCCACCACCCCTAGGGTGGGTGTAGTGCTCACACCATCCCCCTCCCCACTCTTGCACAGGCTGAGCATGTTTACAAGGTAAGGAACCTGGCTCCCTGCTGAGTCCCTTCCTTGAACTTTCTAAGCTTCTCAAGTTGACACAGCCTATCAACTGTGACAGAGGCTGTAAAGTCCAAACATTTCCTACAAATGACCGCCTGGTAAGGTCCATGCTTTAGGCAGAGTGGTGCTCCACCCCTCGTTTTCTTTATCCACTCATCTAGGGGCAGACAAACATCTGTTTCCTGATTGGAAATGGACTGGACGTGCTGGCTCCTCGGCAGCAGGAAGTCTGCATCCACTGTGGCTGACCTGACGGCCTTGCTCCCCTGGCCAGTCAGTGCTGAGAGGCCCACAGCCTTGTGTTTGGCTTTTCTTGCTCTTCCGCCAAGGGGGCTGAGGGAACCCACTGCACCCTGTCCCATCCCGAAGGCACGATGTGCCAAGCCACAGGGCCCTGCTGGGGTCTGCTAAGAGTGGCTGCCTGCTGCCCAGCAGCATCAGAGGCCCCCGTTCACCCCGCAAACCCCCCAATGCACCTGGGCCAAACTCACTGCTTACCCCCACTGTTTCAGCCCAGCCGAGAGCTCGAGCCAAACACCTTCCTCCCTCTGCAAGTCGGAAATGCTGGCATAAACTAAAGCCAGCGCTGGGAATCTCGAGGTACCAGGAGCACACAGGCAGGAGGCACCAGAGCTCACAGGTCCCTCAGTCAGTGACAGAGAAGGCAGCTTTCCCCGCTGTGAATTACTGGCAGCACTTTGCTCAGTGAGGGGCCGGAGGCTTAGAGGATTCACCAGAATGTGTGCAGGGCGCCCCAGGGATCATCTTTAGTAAACAGCGAAGCGGAGCTTGCAAGGTTGCGCAGCTGCAGTACAGAATCGTGGATGCAGGAGCGAGGTGGTGGGTAGCAGTCTGGTAGGGTGGTAGGGAGCGAGCCCTGAGCCCAGCTTCATGGGGCGGTCACTCTCGTCACCCAACAGCCGTGCTCAGCATGCTGGCCCTATTGGCAGCCGAGCTCCAGGTCTGCCACCAGGACAGCTGTGGTGTGTGTGACTGGGCTCTTCAGAAAGTATTTCTGGAGGAAATTTTCAAGGCCCCGAGGGACAGTTTTGGGAGGATGTAATAAATACAGGTGGTGACTGTCATCTTTGGGTTCTGGACATCAGGGAGTTAAGTGGGTGTTAAGTAGGACAGGCGACAGAAGCATTAGCAGACAGATTCAGCCCCCGTGTCCTTGCGGGGGGACATGATTTCCAAAGACGCAGGATTTGGCATCGGTAACTATCAACCTTACACACACACACAGGCGTGCGCATATCATGCATGCAGGACACAGCCACTTGCATGCTACAAAGCAGGCGCATGTTTCTGGAGGGGAGGTAACACATGTTAAGGCCTACAGTCAGCTCGCTGTTACCACCACCATCACCATCACTGCCACCACCGCTTTCGGTTATGCTCTGACTCAACCTAAGTAAGTCAGGGCTCCAGGGGTATCGTACATCCCTCAGGGCGACGCTGGCAGAATCTCTGTCCTCTAGGAGGAAGCTGACAGCAGAACAGGCGAACTCAGCTGTGTTTAAGCAGCGCCCCTGGTTTTGCATGTCCCAGGCCAAGCCACGTGCACAGCCTGAGGGCCTCCAGAAGAGGGCCTTCTGCAACCTGCCTCTCCCATTTCAACCAGCAGGGCACACTCTGGGGCGGGGCTGCAGCCACAGCCATGGGAAGGGGACCCTGCCAGCTCTACTCAGGCTGCAAGAGGCCACCTGCCCGGCTGTGCCGCCCCCTACCCCTACTGGGTGTCTCAGGCAAACCGGCTCTCCCTTCTGTGTCTCTAAGGCGTCATCTACATGGCAGGGAAACCCCCATTACTGCAGCACATTGCCTGCCAGCCAGCGGAGCCTGCAGCTGACCTTCAGGTCGCCCGGCCTGCAGGATGCTGATGGCAGCATGCAGGGACCAGCGCTGAATCTAGCGTCCCTGCTCTGCCTGCTGCCCGCTGGCTCTGGGATCTGGATGAGGCACAGCGGTACTTTCATTTTCCTTTGTGCTTGGGGAGGCAGACTTAATGACCTCCAGTGTTTAACCAGGGGAAAAGGAAAACAAAAGCTGCACCGCACCCCAAAAGCCGCACCCCTCCCCTCCTGTGGAATTCCTGATGCAGGGGCTGGGCAGGCACTGGCCTGAGTGGACCTGGGAGGGAGGCGCTCATGCGTGCAGCTAGGAGCTGGCGCACAGTGTGGCTCAGGGCCTGAGGGAGGAGGGGAGGGAAGGAGGGAGAGAGGAAGCAGGCAGGACGGCTCATTCTGCCCAGGCTGGGCCAGGCAGTGTGTGGGGCTGTGGACGCAGCCCTGCTGCACAGGGGTCGCCTCCTGCCTCCTCGGCATGATGGAGGTCGAAGGATGCTTGTGGCCCCTTGCTCCTGCCTTCCCAGCCGGGAGCTCCTCAAAGTGCTGGAATTTCCCGAGTGAGGACCAAGACCTTCCTGGTCAGATCTCAATCTTCAGTGTTAAGGAGCTGGCCCTTGTGGTGCCCCAAGGTCATGCCAGGGTGGCGTCGGCACGTCACAGAGACTGAGGCTTTGGTTCTATGAACCCCAATGCAAGAACAGGACTGGAGCTGGTCAGTGACCCCCTCCCGCACACCTTGATCACGAGGCCCCATATAAAAACTCTCCAGGATGGCCGGTTGGGGCCCTGAGGTGAGAGGGCACATGGGGTGAGGAAGAAACCACAGAGGAACTCAGTGCCCAGTGCCACGCCTGGTATGGGCATCTGTTCAATCGGGTGGGTCCCGGGTTCTTTCCTCCACAGCAAACCAGCACATGCAACTCCGTACTGGAGTCACCCTGTCTGCCTTGAGTCGCTGCGAGGGACTCTCAAGGGCGCATGCGAGTACTGCAGTATCTGCTGCCCAGGGCACCCGTGGCCCTGAGTGTTTCAGATAAGAAAGCGCCGGAAGGCCACTGGACTCCGGGACCACAGTGGGATTGCCTGAGTACACCCCAGGTGCTCAGCTTTATTTAGAAGGCAAATGCTGGGATCTGAGTCTGGGGCTTCGACCTTCTCCATGTCTCCTGGGAGCACGTCTCAGGCTATGAAGAGTCTGTCTACACCTGTACACGTCCCTGCACCTGGCTTGCGTCTGCACCTGCACCTGCCCTGAGCCTGCACCTGGCCTGCAACTGCACTGAACAATGCACCTATGCCTGCCACCGCAACAAGGATAGAGCACCACCATTCCACAGCCACAGGGGCCTGGGAATGGGGATTCCCACTGAGCGATGCCTAGGGAGCCACAGTGGCAGACCTCAGGAGTAAGCCTCGGGCCTGTGTCCAGGAGGCCTGCCTCCAGGAGGCCTGCCCAGTCCAGTGGGTACTGCAGCCGGGCAGGGGGCTGTGGGCACCGCAGGCCACAACCACAAGCTGCTACTTTCCCAGAGTCACTGCTGCGCAGAAACACATAGGCTGGAAACCCACATAAGCAGCCACTGCAGCCACAATGATCCCTGTGTAAGTGACTGCAGAGGAAGGAAGTGAGCTCGGGGATTTGCGTGTGCACTGCAGGAACAGCCCTGGCCACAGGTGTCCCAGGAGGCCCCTTCAGGAAGTCTGAGGCGCATCCTTCCAATCCCGGGGTACCATCGGCAGACCCGCGCTCTGGCGCACACGCTACGCAATGCCGGACGCTGCTCGCCCACGCCCACCTCACCTGCTCCAAGGGCGGCGGAGGAGAGAAGCGTCTGGCACAGGCCAGGAAGATGTCAGGGGCTGGCTTCCCACTCTTCACCTCGGGATCGTCCCCCAGCACGATGTGGCTGAACAAGCTGAAGAATTCCTTGTGTCGGCCGGTCTTCATCTCGAAGGGTGCACGCCCCAAGCTGGTGGACATGGCAAAGGGGACGTCGTGCTTCCGCAAGTGGTGGATGAGCTTCTCCACACCTGGGGAGGTAGAGGGGGACCTCAGTGTGCTGGGGGCAGTGCGGTGGGAGGGGTGCTGGTGAGGCTCAGCGCCGCAGCTAGGATGTGTGTATTCGGGGTCCCCGCACGTGCACTGTTATCATCTGCCCCAGGCATGGTCTGTCAGGAGGCGGTGGGCTTCAGGAGGCATCCTCCCGGAGCAAAGGAGGTCTGCGGTACAGCTGAGCGGGGAGGAGGACACCAGGCTCCTCCTCCTCTCTCTCTCTCTCTCTGTCTCTCTCTCTCTCCCTGCTTCCTGCTCACATGAGAGCAGACCTCTGTGCAGGAACACATCAGGAAGTCGGCATGCCTGCCGGCCCTCCTCCCATTCCTCTTCCTTCATTTCCTCTCTTCCCTCCTTCCCTTCCTTCCTTTCCTCCGACTAGAACAGAGTAACATTTGAGATCAATAATGGGAAAGCTACAACTATCTGGATGCTAAACGACACAGTTCTAGGAAGGTACGGGTCACAGAGGAAACCACAAAAGGTCACTGGATAATTCTGTGTAGAGAACAGGAACACCTTAGCATCTATGGGGTGCAACTAAAGTGGAAGAAGCTGATAGTATTTTTTTTTTTTTTGGTCTTTTTCTTTTTTATCGGTACCAGGGATCGAACTCACGGCCGCCTGTTTGCAAGGCAGGTGCTTATGCCACTGAGCTAAATGCCCAGCCCCTAAGCTGATAGTTTTAAATGCTCAGTTGGAGAAGAGGGCCCAACTCGGTGGTCTAGCTAGTCACATTAAAAAAAAAAAAAAAAAACTGTAAGATCAGTGATGGGCTATTCTTTCTCCTTAGAAGTCGCCCAGAAAGAGCAAATCAAATGAAGAAGGGAATAAAAACAGGAGAAACAAGAAAAAAATAAAACAATACAGAAAGTCGATTAAGCTAAAAGCTGGTTCTTTGAAAAGATCAGGTGAAATATTGGACCTGTAGCTCGACTGACCAAGAAGAAAAAGAGAAACCTAAATCTATCAATATAACGAGTGAAATGGAGCAACACTACTGATCCTAAAGTCATTAAGAAGGAAAAAAGTTATGAACGATTCAGTATCAATTTATGTGACAACTTAGATGAAACAGATCAGTTCTTTGAAAGACAGGAAATTGAGGACACTAATAAGCTGAACGGCCCCCTATGTAGCATGTGTAATTACAAATCTTCCTCTATCTAATAAAGATCAGAGAGTCACCGATGACTTTCCCATACACTCAAGAAATAAGTAACAGGAATTCTAACAAAATTTCAGGACATTGGAAGGGACATTTGCTACGTCTTCTTTTGATATGAAGACCGCAATTCTCTAGTAGCAAAACCAGCCAAAATCCCGAGACCTCCCAAGGCGTGCAATTCTGGAGTACACTCACGTGTACCTGCTCACATCAGCAGTTCTCAACCTGTGCAAACGTATGCGTACTATGTGGAGCTTGCATGTGTGAGTTAAAAAGATTTCCATGCCTATCATTGCATAGCTTGCAACAACTAGTTCTGAGGATCAGGGTGTATTAAAAAGTATTGGCAAACTTTCAAAATAAACTCGACCTAACCAGTGTGGAGACGGCAAGAACCGCTGTGGAAAAAGAGACATCAGTAGCAAATGTCAGGCTAGTCGCAGGGAGAGACGCCCAGTAGCAAAATGATTTGTACTTGCAGGAGATTTGAAGCTCCTATCTTATGCCTTTCTAATGCAGTTTAGAAAACAACAGAGCATATTTTTAACGTGCAGCTCACTTGAAGACACAAAAGAAAGGCAAATTCTGGTGTAAGATTTTTTTTTGTGATGGTAATTGGTTTCATAGGAGTTTATCCTTGTCCCGTTCTTCCCCTCTGGGACTATTTTGCTAGATATCTCATGGGAAATCTTAGCAAGAGCAACCACAACCAAGTGGGAGTCAGTCTATGCCATTTTCATTCCCAGGGGAGGACGCGGCAGTGGTGTTTGTGGGTGGCTTCCAGGGACGGGGACAGATCCCTGGGAGCGCTCTGCACCTGCCGAGGACACATTTGGGAAGCAGTGAGCCTGGCTTCGCAGGCACCTGCCCCCGGCCCCTTGCAGAGCTCCAAGAGCCAGTGCACACTGCACAGCTGCCACTGGCGTCCTGTCACTCTCTCCTCTCAACACGAAGAGTAAAAAGGCTGTGAAGATGGAGACGGAGCTCTGTCCCAGGGTGAAGCACATACGTGAAATTGCGGCACTATGCATGTGTACACGGGGTGAAGGGAAGCTGGGAATCTGTTGCTACACAGGGTCAGCTCGCCCAGGGTGACGCCGGGGAAGGAACGGGAAAGGGGAAGAGATCCAGGACGGACTGGAGGGATCAGGGATGCCACGTGTGCAATGGACTGGAGAAGGAGCAAATGCAGAGGCTGTGAGCAGTCAGGAGAGCCTGAGGTGCTGCAGATTTCTATGCGCCTGGCGAGTGTAGCTGTCAGAGCCCACTGGCCGGGGCGCTATCCGAGACACCTCACCTGCTACCCCACAGCCAAGCACACACGGCCCTGTCCTGATGTACTGGCAGACCACGCTGGCCCTGCGGAGACTCAGCCTCCTTCTAACACAACCTGAGGGGGCAGTCGTGGCCCGCAGTCCCCAGAGACAGACGCTGCCCACAGGAAGAGTGCTGCAGCAGAATATGCCCTTTCTTAGAAGACGGCCCTCTCAGCTGCGGGAAACGCCACGTTACAGGTCAACACTAGGTGACCCGTGACACCAGGAGGCTGAATGGGGACCCTTTAAAAGTGACAGTCGGCTCTCAGTCCCTGAAACTTCTGAACAGGATTTGGTGACGGTCTCAGGAGCGATGACCCTGGATTACAGTGGCTCTAAATGAAAGGGAGACAGGGGCACAGCAGAGAAGCCTCGGGAGGATGAGGGGAGAGATGGAGAGGTCTCAGTGGCCAGAAGGGGACGGGACCCTCCCCCCCAGGGGGGCCTCCTCTGCTCCTGAATGTGAAGGAGGAGAGAACTTCACCGGGCCTTGGTGAAAAGTCTCAAATATGAAAGCTCAAACATGGAGGAGACAGGAGCCCTCTGGGAACAAAGGCACCCCAGAAATAAAAAGGAAAAAAAATAGCACAGTCATCATGATGATTAGGATTTAGAGACAGGAGTTGAAGACCCAAAGGAAGCCACGCTGGGATGGAGGGCAGTTCGAGAGTTTCCCAAGGCTCACGTGGGAAAAGATTGGACCCCAGCTGGGTGCTTTCAACACACGTTGGGACCTGTAAGAGCTATGGCCACAGAGAGGGGGATTCCCAAGTTATCAGGGTGCCTGTAAGGCATTGAGGGAACCCTGTGCCTTTCCATCGCCTTCCTCCCTGGCTCACCCCCTGGGCGACCTGCTTGGTTCTGTGTGTGCCTAGCCTGACACTACCAACGTCTCTGGCCGGAAGCCAAGGGCCCAAGGCCCACGAGTTCCTGAACTCGCAGCCAAGATACACTTTCTCTCCGCAGAAGCTGGCATCCCCAGGTGCGCCCTCCGGGAGGAACAGGAAGGAAGAAATGTCAGCACTGAGATCAAGTTCCCCTAGGGAGGTGTGCCCAGGAGCAGCCCGGGTTCACGCAAGACTGCTCTTTCCCCATTTCTGAAGCTGGTAGTCACATCTGCCTTTCAAAAGGCAGGACACGCTGAAAAACACCCTCCTGCTGCGGTCTGCCAGACCCTGACATTTATGCTGTGAGGAGTTTCACTTCCTTAGGGCCATGGAGGAACTCTGCAGGGTCCTGGGACTCACATGCCTCCTCCTAGCTGTCTCCAGCCTTGCTGTGGGCTCAGGACCGGGCTGCTTCCTGCTGCTGTGCTGTTCTGTGCAGAGGTCCATTAAGGTGTACTCTCCACGGGGTAATCCTCAGCTCAGGAGCGGACCCTCTGACTCAGGCAGCGACCGCTGCTCTGAGAGGGACCTTTACGGAAGGCACGGAAGGCACCGCATGGAGTTAAAACACGCCTCCTTGTGGGCTCTTTAGAAGGGATGCTGGTGACCGAGGGGGGCACCCTGCTCCGGGAGTGCTGCTGGGACCTTCAGAAAGCGTGCCACACTGGTCCCTGTCTCCCAGCCGAGCTGTTTCACACAGGGAAAGAGAGGGATTTGGGCAGTGGGGCCCAGGCAGAGAAGCGGTGTGAACGGGCAGATCCCGTGTGGAGCCATTTACAAAGAAGGGGGGAAAGCTAAAGGGAAGGTCCAACAGGTAGCCAGGATTCCACACCACAGAAACTGAACAACTTCCCCTAGAAAGGGACCAGCCGTGGAGAGGCTGCATCTCCCCTGCAGAGTTCCCCTGCACAGATGCCCCTGTGTGCTGTCCTCGGATTTTAGGTGGGGTACTGGCCCCTGGTCCCCAGCAATCTCCCCTTTAGACAGTGGCTATCCACAGAGTACAGCACCGTGTCAGTGCAAAGTGCACGGACTCCTCAGAGAGCAGGGAGAAGAATGCAGACGGAGGGCTGCCCAGAGAGGCTGAGGGGCCCTGGGGAAAGGGCTCCAGACCTGGCCTCCATGGCCAATCATCGGTGACCCCGTCTCTCTCTCTCACCGTCTCCAAACACAAAAGGCATCTTCCTGGCTGTTCAGAGCTGCATTCTACATGCAGAGGATGGAGGTTCAGGGCTCAGTTGCTTCACATCTGAAGCTTCAACCCATCTTGCTCAGTGTTTTTAGCCCTTGGTTTTATCCTGCATTCTTTAAAACACACATCTATGCTATCTCCTCACTTCTCAATGGAAAGAAAAAAAGAAGATTCACTGTTGAATCACTGCAGATGAGGCCCCCTGTGTGCCCAGGCAGACCCTGAGGTCCTAGACTCAGGTGAACTGCCTGCCTTGGCCTCCTCAGTAACTATGATTTCAGCTACCGCTGAAGAGTTTCTTGTGCCAGGGGTTTAGCTCAGGGGTGTAAGCGCCTGCCTGGCAATCATGTAAGGTTGTGAGTTCAATCTCCATTAGCAAAAGAAAGAAAGAAAGAGAAAGAAAGAAAGAGAAAGA